GAACTGATTAAAACAATAAATAAAATACAATTATATAAAATCTAAAGCTATGTAAAAAAAATTCCAGGAGTGTACCATTTAACCTGCCACCTGCAATCTGGCACTGTGATTGGTTAAGACAAATGAGATGTTCTTGTGGCTAAGATCTAAGATACATCCATCAAATGGGGACCCCAAAACTCTGGTCCCCAGTTCAAATTACAGCATCAGTTCCAATTAAGATTAATCATAGTTTAGGATTCTATAGTATTTTTGATGTATATGTCAGTACCTGTGAAGCACCTGTCAACACCTTTAACCAAATGCATCTTTTCCCGGGATCACAAAGCAGCTGTGCAATTCCAGGAAAAGACATAGCTGTTTCAAGGACTTGCCAGTAGGTGCTAACATGAATAACCCTGTGTGCTCCAAAGCTCCTCTTCCCCTTTAAATCTGAAGAGCTACACAGCCCTTCCATGGTTAGCAATGATGGAGACTAATAGCTGGGTGCACATGTTGGGCCAAGCCATGTTTGTTTGATCATGGCATGTAAAACATGCTTTCCTTAGTTGCATAGCATGCTAAGTCAATATCAAACAAACTACAGTGTGGCTGAACATGGGTCTACTTAGCCCCTGTTCTACCACAGTTAGAAGAGTGCTTGAAAGCAAGGATAGAAATTGAGCCAGATGAATGGAACATGTGAGCCAATGGCACTAGGCCCATTGTTCAACACTGTGCATGTTTCTGGGCCAATAATAGATGATACAATACAGAAATATTTATTTCTGTCCTGGTCAATTGGCACACAAATAATAGGGCTACTGTATCTGGGCTGCAAAACTCCAGTGGATAGATTTATTGTTTGCTGCCATCTAATGGCTGACCAGATTTAATAGCTAGTTTTAAAATCCACCTAAAAATGAATTAGCAGTTTACCCAGAAATATAAAAAAAAAGTTCTTCAGATAATCAACATGCATTATTCTGCATGCTTTGAATCCATTCAGTTCTAACCTATTATCTAAGGAACTGATATCATAACTGGAGAGGGAGGTGGGAATGTTTATAGGAATCTTCTGTGATGCGTTTCTGTTAGTTTATTTCTAAAATGTATTCACTGCCCAGTCGCTAACTAGAGTACAATAAAAACGCAAATAAAATCCAAATCCATATAACTGGAAACCAAAAACAGCAGTGATGTGAGGCCAAAGATGGCACTTACTCATTGCTTCACTCAGCATGTGAACAATATTGTCCGCCTCATCTTCCAGCATCTGGTGTGGCTTCAGTGGCACAGGAAGGTAACCATAATGTTCTCTATTGCAAATGTACATCTGAATGTCTGGAAAGAAAGAAAGAACTGTAGATATAGGAGAAGAACCATGCTCATAAAGAAATGATGTCGCCATGGGAATCCCATCAGGCTGCTTTGGGTTCTTGAGTCTTGAAGAAGATGGAGTTCAGTCTCTTTCTACAGGATCAGAAGCTGTAGAGTCCCTACCGTACGGCTGAGCCTTCCCCTCCATTATTTATATACATTAGGCATGAGACTGAACACAGTGACCAGATCTCTGCCCACTGCCTCACCGATGCAGGCAGAAGAAAAAGGCAGCAGGAGGAAAAGAGTTCCAGCAAGCCTATGAGCAATTACTCTTTTAATAGATGTGCTGTGTTTTTCATTCTGTATTTTGAATTTTATAAGCAGCTTAGAGTCAGTCAGAATGAAGTAGCACAGAATTAATTAAATGAAGAACATCCCCAAAAAAGCCTTAAAAGAAAGCAGAGCGGATGAAAAAAGATGGGTGAGTTTTTGATCATCTCTTGGAAAGAAGGCAAGGCTTCCCTCTCGGGTTGCCTCTGCACAGCCACACTGGCTTTAACTCTAGGAGGACACAAATTAAGAAGAGAACAAGCAACTGAGCTGCCAACAGGACATGTCTGGAAATGGTCCTGTCTGTTTCAGGAGGCTTGCTCAGAAAAAATAAAATCCTATCTCCCCACTTCTTTACACAAGATGACTGCCACAGTCACTGAGTACTGATGCATCCGGACTACTATTGAGGAAAAATGGTTTTAGATCCCCTGACCAATGACTTCAATTAGCAAATGATGTTTTAAGACCTCAGGGTGGAAAGTTCATAACTCTTAATTTGAAAGCAGAGCTCCGGGGAGAACAGGCATATTGACCTACATGGGCAAATAATCTGGTTGGCTTTCCTGTAGCTTTCTACGGGCCAGACTTCCAGCTCGCTTGTAATGCCAAATAGAGAATTACAACTAGATTAACCTCTGTGAGGAGCAATAGTCTATTTTAGCTTCCTAATGAATGTGAATGCATTGACCCTATTTGCACATTGAAGTTGGCCTTGGCTTGTTCAGGCTTTGCATCTTCCACCTGGTGCCAAAATATAACCCCGTGTGAATCTCCGGGACTACCAGAACACCAGGCACAGGACTTATCCCAGTGTCATCATCCCCAACCCAGAATGCAACAGCCCACAGAAACACTGGGCCCTTGATGGAGAGGGCTGGGCTAGGAGCCAAAGAACCAGCTGCAGCCTGACATGCTATTTTTGCCCCATGCGTCTGCGTGATGAGTTCCAGTACACACCTGTCCCTTCTCTGGTTCTTGGGACTTGGCAGTGGAGCCAGAAACCACTGAAACCAACAGGGGAAAAATAAAGCATGTCCCAGTTACTTGCAGTGGGCTGAAAATCAAAGCAGCCGTTAAACTGCCAGAAGTCTTAAGAAGCTGCAGACATTCAGGAAAAAAAACAAAGTGGCTCCCCAGTATGAAGCCGAAAATAAATTCATTCCGTCTTTTTTAACCAGCGGGGGAAAGAGGGGAGAAGACGAATTCAAGCTTAGACATCCGAGGCTGTGGTCCAGATTATTAATAACAGAACCACTTCCTGATATTTTTAATACCATAGGATTGCTTGTGGAAGGAGTTATTGTATGTGTCTGCTTCTTTATGACCTCCATACTCCAAGCCAAGCAGCTGACTGCAATTCTTGTCAGTCCTCAGTTCATCTGTCAAATGCCAACAATGCCACAATGGGGAAGAGGTGAAAAGGTTGTTCAGGTATCCAGTCTCCTCATTCCCCAGCTTCGTATCTGCTTTTTCTTGTGAAATCATCTTCATCATCATGATTCCAAAGCAATTATGCCATAGAGTTTTGGTAGCATTTTCATCTGTCTACACTCAGTAAGTAGTAGCATCCAGGCAATGTTGGCTGATTTCAAAATGCTAAGCAGAGTTAGATCTGGTTAGTACTTGGATGGGAGACTACCAGGAAAACTTAGGGCTGGACAATGGACTGAGGCATTGAACAGGCAGTGGCAAACCATTCCATACTGTCACAAGAGAACAGGCATTTAGCCACCAGAAGTGGTCTCTGTGTGTGCAAGTTAAGTCAGTTTTTGACTCCTGGCAACTGCCTGGACAAGTCCCTACGGTTTTCTTGGCAAGGCTTTTTGGAAGTGGCTTGCCATTGCCTCCTTCCTAGGGCTGAGAGAGTGACTGGGCCAAGGTCACCCAGCTGGCTTTGTGCCTCAGGTGGGACTAGACTTTATGGTCTTCTGGTTTCTAGACTGATGCCTTAACTACTACCCCAAACTGGCTCTCACCAGGAGTGGAGCTTGACTCAGACTTTACTTTTCATCCTCTTTAATACATGACTAGCTTGTTCTTCTTTCTCCCCTCCATTTTTTTTCTATGAATGTCATGCTTTTCAAACCACAAACCCATAGCTTTGCCTCATTTTTAATCACAAGGTGCCCTCTGGATCCAAAGTAGGGCCTCAGTGGCTTGCTGCTTGCTGCTTTAAGGCCTCCTGAGAGCTTCTGAGCATGCCTTTCTCCCTAAAATCCCAGTGGAAATGTCCTCTGGTTATGCACATAGTTGCTCAAAGACCTTGGGAGAGCTTTGGAGCAGCTGAGGCTTCAATCTCTGTGCTGCTCAAATGTTCTGCCTGTCAAAGAATCTGCACAGACCTAGTTTCCGTACAGTTTTTAGGACATTTTATGTGCTCTCTAAATAATAATTGGATATTGTGATGGGCTGGAATAAGAACTCAGGTTGAAACAATTTTGTGACCATGCTGATGTTTACTTATGTGAGTATATTATTACAAATATGTTTCCTTAGGTTCACAGATGTCCTTTGCTATATTTCTCATACAACAGCTTTAAGAACGGTATTTTTATTATTGTGCTAGTTTGTGCCAATGCATTTTCCAAGATTCTGCATCTTACCCTTAATTCTTGCATTAGAATTCCATACAGAGGAATGTATGTGTGCTTCCTACTTCCATGATTGCCCCTAGGATTGATACAGCTTGATACAGACTGTACTCTCCAATTCAGAAGGATTGGCGTTGTGGAGAATGAGTGGGGAGATCAAATTGCTTAAACCCTAGACTGCATCTCCAACTGCAAGGAAAGGCTGCCTTGTCTGAATGTTGCATTGCTTTCTCACACTTGTGGGAAACGAGCACTTATATCTTTTTAATTATTACATATGCTTTTTTGCCACTTCAATCCTTTTGACTGTAAGAAAGGCTAAGAAAGGCTTGGGCTAAGTTGTAATAGCGTCATTTGCAGTAATTAAAAAAAAAATCAATTGGTTATGGGTAACAACATTTCCCTAGAGAATTTATTATCTTGATTAAGGATGCAAATTGAATCTCACCAACTGCAGCTTGTGGAAGAGCAGGGGATATCCTAACTCTGAGGAGCTTGCAACGCTATGGATTAGATTTGAAGCACATTCCAAAGCATCTTTATGGAATCAAACCTGAAACGTTAATTGCATTTGTCCATGTATATACATGCACATTAAGGCTAGATATATTTCCTACTATTATTCAGAGACTGCTGTTAACCCTTTTATTTATGAATTTTTGAAACTCTCTTATAGAATGATAATGTTACAAGCTATCCAAACTCTCCCTGAACTCACAATTTTTAAAATGTGGTTAATCAATTGCTACTTACCAGCTTGGCGACTTGAGAAGGCAAAAACAATGATATCATCAAAGGTCCAGGTATAGTCCTGGTGTGGGGGATAAAATGCCAGTTTATCTGATGCCTCTTTTCTCAAATCAATCAAGAATGTGGAATGAATCATTGGGACTGCAAAGCAACCAGTTCTCTTCCATTCCCTGATCAGAGAATAATCTGGTGTTCTCTTGTAATAGCCCTGAGAAAAAAACAGGGTACATAGCTTATTAAACTCTTTGTATAAATCTCTTGCCTATAACAAATGAACTTGATCCTGTTTGCCAACATATTCATTCAAACACCTGGACATAAGCTGAAAACTAAAACTACTGTTACATTCAAGACAGAGTATCAGTGATGGGATTCTCCTATGGTTAAGGCAAGGATTTATAGCTTCATGTCCAGTTCCCATTCTAGGCAGTTCTACCTGTCATGCACTGCCAAATACTTTTGCGCTAGCTATGTGACCAGCTCTTTTAGTAATGTAAACAGTTATCTAACAATACATCCTAGAAACACAACTTTCCAACATTTTTCCAAGATGCAAGGATATCATGACATAAACAGGGAGATCTGAATACTACTCCAAACTATGACTCATAAAGATAGTCAACTGGAAACAGAATTCTGGTGAAGAATCAAGGTGAACTCTCTCTTTATTGACCTGTCTTTGCTACCTCTCAACCATATGCTGAGACTTGATGGGGCTGTTCTTATTTCCTACGAATAGAAACCCAGAAAGTATGCAAGCCAAGTTAACTAGCCAACATTATGCCAAACAGCAAGAAATTTGCTTCCTGTTCCATAAAACAGCTGTGACACACTATTCCAACTGCACATCTGAACTTAATATGTAAGTCAGCAGTTAATCCTCAGAAGGGAAAGTCATAAAATAAGAGTGAAATCACTGGACTGGAAGTGCAACATAAAAACTGGAGAAGGAGCAGGAGAGAAAAAATGGTCTAATAAATGTAATTTTACTAATAGAAGAGGATATATGTAACTCAGGCTTGAACTGTAGAGTCCTTGGGGTTCTCTGAGCTTGGTTGTTTTCTTGAGGATGTTTCGTTACCTGACTAGGTAACATCCTCAGTGCTAGAAGGGAGTGGGGTTTGCCCTCTGTTTATATATAGTAGCTTGCCCTGTCAGTGTTGGTGGGGATGTTGTATTTTTTCCCTTGGTAGTTCCTAGATTAGGCTGTTGTTCACTGCTTGATTGTCTGAGTTGGTAGTTCTGTTTCTAATTTGCCATCATTTCCTCTGCTTCTTGGACATCCACATCAACAGAGGAAATGATGGCAAATTAGCAACAAAAGTCTATCAAAAGACAACCCACACTAACCAAGTGCTCCACTACCAAAGTAACAACTCAACCTCCCACAAGAGGAACTGTGTAAGCAACATTATTCAGATAAGCATAATGCAGCAGCACTGCAGCAACCCAGAACAGCAAAAAAAAAAGGAAACAGAAGATACAACATCTTCCAACAAAATAAATACCCACAGAAGTTTATCAAAAAGTGCCTGACCATGCAACCCACTACAGCACAACCAACACAAGCTATGAAAAGGATGACACTACCAAAGATCAGAAATATCTCAGAAACAACCAACAGACTATTACAACCACATGGCATCACTGTAGCACACAAACCAATTAAAGCCCTCCAAAACATCTTAAATAAACCAAAAGACCCAGTAGCCCAAGAAGAAAAAAAAGGAGCCATCTACAACATACAGTGTAAGGACTATTACAGCCACTATGTAGGACAGACAGGCAGAAGACTAGCAGAGCGTATCCACAAGCACTGACTAGCAGT